CTGTTATTGAAGTCACACATCTGTCTCGTTTATCATTACTCTGGTTAAACAAATCAGTAGTAAGTGCTTATTGATGTGAATTCTGTTCTGAATGAGCTCATGTGCTTCCTTGGAACAGACTTGATGCATCCAGCAACAGCCTTGCGAATTTAATACAATGATAGTTATAATTTATAATCAGATCACCCAAGACATGTTCATTGGTAAACCATATAATTTTTACATTACGTGGAGGTACTTGAAACCCATTAACATCCATATCTGGTTTAACTTTGAAGTCTTTTGGTCCAAATGTTCTCTGAGCTTGCTTAAGCGTAAGCCTAAAAGAATATATACCAACCAAACTGGACAAATAAAAAATGAGTTTTGATCATTTCATATATAATATTTAGTTCAGTCTTTTGGTCACATGGAATCATTGTTTTTTAACTAATTTGATTGCAAACAACTATACAAAAATTGCACTGGCAACTTTCCTTGCCATACTGAATTTAACTGATGAACATGAATGAGTTGAACTCTCACACTTCAAAAGTGGTGAAAGGTTCTTTAGGAAAGCAAAAGTGGTTCCTGAGTGGCATCCCTCCAAAGAAACTTTTCTGGTACCGTTATTTTAATGGTGTGCTGGGAATACTACATGTCAAAGATAGTGTCCACAGTGTCAGTGTAACAAATAAGATAAAAACCCTAAACCAACATTAAAATGACAACAAACTATCCCAAGAACATAAAAACACAGCAGCCTTGACTAGGGAACACAGCTGTGGTATGTTAAAATCCAGTGTGACTCAGCTCAGTAAAAATACCAAAAATAGCAGTGGCCAGACTTTGGATGGAAAGTGGAAAACATAAGTAAGTACTTTGCAGCAGCTGGAGAGGAAAGCACTGCTGTGATGGGAGCAGAGTGCTGGGTTGTAGAATATCTGCAATAGTGTTAAAAATATACTGATTTAAAAAAAATCTAATACACACTGAAATCATTCTACCACAGGTATTGATAGACTTTTTATTCAATCTCTTATAGGTGTCTAACAGTGTATCATTATATTGCAACGTAAAACTGTGACAGAATGCACATCTATTAATTAATAACAATTATTAATAATCTAGTAATTATGCCATCTAATGCAATTGCATTGTGTGAACATGGAAGTTTGCAATCAGCACCAATTAACAACTCACTCCAGCACTCCTTCTACCTCTCAGCTCTAGTGTTGCTAGTTATTTTTCTTCATTTGAATTTTAGAGATATTCAAATCATGAACCCAGTATCGTGAACCAAATCAAATCATGGGATGAGTGTACCGTTATGTTCCCTTTCTTTATAACACCAAAACAAACAAAATTGACTATAAAATAAATTAAATACACATGAAATTATCACTAAAGTTTACTCTTCAGATTCAGACTACAGAAACATGTGTTGTCCTGATGTATGCTTTACAGGAAGACATCCACTGTCATCATTTAACCTATTTATGTTTTTGTTTATTGTTACTGCTGCTACATCATCTTCTATCATTTTCTATATTTAGTTTATGTTATTTTTTTCTTTGTTCCTCAGAGATATCCATGATTTGTCCTTGAATATTTATGTGAATATTTTTATTGCACTAAAAGTAAATATATTTGTAAACAAGAAAACCTCAACATTTGAGACTATTGTAGGTAATATATAACTTCTCACTTACGCTGCACACTTAAACAATTAAAAGGGCAGTTTAACAAAAAAAATAAACCTTTTTCTTAATATAGTTGATCAGCCAAGACCTATTTGGTGTGTGAAGTTTGCTTCGTTAGTAATAGACATAATAAGAAATGCAAGTATTATAAATCTTATATTTGTTGCCAGCTAGATCAGCCTCGTAACTCCAGCGCAAAACTTCAGACACCAAACATGTCTTTACTTTAGCATTTGAGGTAAGCGGAAAAACTTTGTAAATTTGACCTTCAGTTGAAAGTCCTTTAATGGAATAGCCCAGTCATAAATGCTAATGTTGCTAACACTGAATGAAAGCAAGTGGCCACTAATTAGCTAGATATCATGTACACTGATGGAAACCAGCTTTGGGTTTTATATTCAAGTATTTAATTAAAACCAGTAACCACCCTCACCCTAGACAAGACAAGACAGAAAATGGGGGGAAATTGGTGGAGCACAGGCTACAGCGTCAGCCGTCCATTGCTTGCAGTATCTCAGTGTTTCAATGGTGATGAAGTGCAGCAGTTAGCCAGAGGCCACAAAGCAGGAGAGAGTGTGACGCTGCACTGGTGTGGCTCACAGACAGAAAAAGAAAGAGACACTATACACTGTCTCTACAGAGGGAGTTATAACTAGACATCACAAGGCCAAGGGTGAACAAAACAAGACAGCCACACAACCAAAGACAGGAAGAGAGACGTGTCAGGATGCAAATGATCCTCCTCTCTCATACTGAATCCTTCAGCACTGTTGCAGTGACAGGAGTGCCAGCTCCAGCGCCGCACACACACACACACACACATATATATACACATATATATATATATATACACACACAGCCTTGTTTTAGCCTGACCCACTGCAGAATGCTGGTCTTTTCAGAGTTCATTTTCCTCTCCTCACTTTTAATCTGTTCATATAGAGATTTTTCTGCAGCTGCATTTGGGGGGATGATGGTGGTACTGCTGTATCACTGTGGTATGAATGCCACACATCAGTGTGTTCAGTTGGAGACGACACATTTTAAGTTACTTTTAACACAAAACGTCTTGAAATATTTCTGTGCCCACTCACAGACAACATATTCTGTGTTAGTTTTAACACAGAATGTGTTAAATCAGAAAAAAAAATATGACACAAATGGGTAACACAAGTGTGTTGTTATCTAACACATCACTTTTTAAAGTGTAGGACTATATCCTTCCTCATGTACACTGACCATAGTCAAAAGAGACTTAAAACAACTTGAGATATCCAGAAACAGTCTTTCATCACTGAGATGCTTTGTGAACCATCATCCACACTTGTAACATCCAGGCCTGCTTTGGCAATCATGTTGTGCAATGGCATTTTCCTGACCTGCACAAGCACAGTGATCACATCAACAGCCCTTAAAATCGCTGATGGAATTTTGTTTATCAGCGAGTACCAGGCAGACGAACCTAACTGTAACCTTTTCATCCTCTTCATTCAGCACTGATGGCTAAAAACAAGGCACGGCTCCCCACCAGCAAAGCAAGTGATTAGTCTGCCTGTCATTCTAATCACAAGCAGAGGAGCTGGATAATTAATCCATTTAATCTTAGCCAAAACAGGACTTAAAATGGGGAGGGGGGCACCCTGGGGTTTCTACTCACTGCTTTCTTCACTTTAAAAGACAAGTTCACCAAATCATCACAATTGTATCTATTCGTGTGCATTGATGAGAGATGTTTCTGGGGCTACATTCCCAGCACACTGATGCTAAATTTAGTCTAAATTTCAGCCCATCTGACCTATCCATGTCCCACCACAAATACATGCCTTCACAGCAACCGTTGCTAGATTGGACAAGTTTTACATGTTTTGTCAGTATGCCTCTATTTTAAGTGCATTATTAATGTCAAATGATATTTATTTTGTATGCATGTGAACTTAAAAGGACACTTCAGCGAAAATGAAAAAAGTAACCATGACTACACTGGTTGTAAACAGGCCTACTCGCCTCTTACAGTGGTGCCACAACTGTCTCCAGAGCATTCATTTATCAGTTTAAAGACCAGGAAAACCTAAAGTAACTTCTGATGATGTACTTTGAAGGTGGGAGGAGCCTCTGAAGAACTACAAGCACTCTGGTGTGGATTTGGTTTCTGCTAGCAGGCTCATGCAGAAGGATGCCAGATAGCCAACGGCACTGCCAGCAAGCCCAATACCACTGTCTGTGTTTATTAGCCTCTATATCAGTGGCAATGCTAGCACTCAGGATTTCTTTATTGCTAAAGGGGGATTCCCAATGGTTGTATGACATATTTACATAATGCATCCTGGGTATTGTAGCGAGAGAATAGAAGAAAAAACAAAAAGAGTGAAAAATCGTCAATCCTGTCCAACCAGTGAGGCTGAAGGATGCAATGCTGCGCTACATAATATTAATTGGTAACCTACGTCTAGGCCGGAATGCCCCTTTAAACTGGGCTTCAATTGAGGGGGAAGAAGCCCCTTTAGACCATGGCACAATTTTTCAGTTTCTCATTAGGTTGCTCAGCAAAAAATATCTCTCTTTCTCTCTCTCTCTCTCTCCCTCCCTCTCTCTCTCTCTAAGGAAAGGATGTAGACTGCAGATGAAACGGAGCACAGCAGCCATTGCTGTACATCCAACATCACAGTGAGCGGAAAGCAATGACAACACACTGAGGCTACAGCGGCAAGAGCCTTTAAAGGAGCCAAATTTAGAGAAAAAGCCTGGCCTAATCACATCGCAGCAGGCCAGTTTTACTCCCTAACCTCAGGGGGAAAACATATGAGCATATGAGTGAGCGGCATCCTATTTTACAGCCGTGAGCTCCGGCTGAAGCCGCTGATGTTTAACGGTGGAGATTCCTTAAGAGGCGTGAACAGAACCCCATTAGCGAATGCTAATTCCTTGATATGTTATGATTGTGTAACGTTGTGTAAACGAGGCCGAATTCATTATGAACGGCGTGTACACCACATCCTTCGTAGTGTTTGAGGGCATTTGCCAGCTTGTACATTAAACACACACTAAAAGACATGACCGTCCCCGACTAGCCCAGGTTTGAAGGCTATCTTAAGGGGAAAAAAGGCGACTAAGCGGCTTTTTTCCGTCGTTATGTTAACGTTGGTTCACACCGACTGACTGCCGCTGCTGTGGATGTGGATGTGGATGCGCAGGAATGTGGATGGAGGCCACACTCTCTGGCCGACTGCCTTTTTCACGGCATAGCACCAAAAACAAGTCATTTGTCAACCTGAGGTGACGGTGGTGTAAAAATGAGAAATATGAATGACCGTTGCCCACCTGAAGTGAAGCGGACGCGTGGCTCGCGCCATTACCGTGACAACGGAGCAGCAACGCCAACCGACACCGAGCAGCCTTCCTCGTCTGAAACGGGACGGACTTCAGGGTAGAAAACAGCGCACATAATCCATCTTCGTCGTCTTGGGGGTCGACAAAACTGAGGCGAAAACGCGAGCTGTCAAAGCTGCGAGCTTCCTCCAAGGATGGCTCTTCACGGGCGCCGCCCAAGTCCCGCCCACCAGGACCACCCTCCCTACAACAAGCTGCAAATGTCTACTGCTAAAATGAGCGTAAACATCGCTGTTGTTATTAATCACAGCCTGTTTACATTCTCATTAGCCTCACTGTAGGCCTCCTCTTTCGTCCACACCTCTTTATACGTGGAAAAGCTGAAGGAAAAATCAGGAGAAGTGCTTAAAGAAGACCGCGTTGATTGACAGGAGTATTAACCAATAGGAGAGCAGAGGTCAGAAACGGACTCAGACTGACGGTTGAGTCCCCCACTCCCTTATTTCAGTGGTTTGGAGGAGGTTAAAGCGGACAGGTGCTGCACATTTTATTTCCCTTCTGTCTAATTATTTGATGAAAAGATGGTGAAATATGTTAATAAAATGCTTCATAATAGTGCACATGTAAGCGAACTGAGACCACACGATGCCAGAATCAAACTGGTTTTACTGGCCAAGTAAGATATCACGTATAAGGAATTTGTCATAGCATCAACTCCCATTAAGACAGACATGAGTTAAATTCAATAAATAATACATTAAATAATGAATCAAACTGCAATAAATTAAACAGAGTACAGAGGAGGAAACAACAACAACAACAATAATAATAACAACGATTGCACTATTTAATGTTTTTTCTTTTCTTTGTTTTTTGGCGCTAACAAAAAACCACAAAGAATTTTATGATAAATGACTCCTTTGTCTCTGAATATGACACAAAAGAGCTTGTTTAAGTGCAGTAAGGTTGTCTAACCAATGATTTATATTGAACTTCATGACTGCCAGCCCCTGCATGAACCATTAAACAAAGTCAACTTTATTGTCCTGCCAACTACTGAGTGAAAAACGAAATAGATGTTTTATATTTATATACATATGCATAAATTTCTATTTATATATACAGATGTATATATATATATATACACATACACATATAGGTAAAGTTGGGACAGGGGCATGTTTACCACTGTGTTTCATCACCTCTTCTTTTAACAAACTCTGTAAGTGTTTGCGAACTGAGGAGACCAATTGCTGTAGTTTTGAAAGTGATATGTTTTCCCGTTCTTGTTTGATATAGGATTTTAGCTGCTCAACAGTTTGGGGGCTCATTTGTTGTATTTTTCATATCATATTGTGCCAAATGTTATAAGTGGTGACAGGTCTGAACTGCAGGCAGGTCAGTTTAGCACACGGACTCTTTTAATACGGAGAAATGCTGTCGTAATACATGCAGAATGTGGTTTGGCATTGTTTTGCTGAAATAAGCAAGGCCTTCCCTGAAAAAGACGTCATCTGGATGGCAGCATATGTTGCCAAAATATGTATACGTCATTCAGCATTAATGGTGCCTTCACAGATGTGCACATCACCCCTATACCATCAGAAATACTGGCTTTTGAACTGTGCACTGTTTATAAGCTGAGTGGCCTTTAGCCTGGAGGACACAGTGTCGATTATTTCCAGAAAGAATTTAAAATGTTGATTTGTTGGACCACAGGACACTTTTCCACTTCACCTCAGTCCATTTTAAATGAGCTCAGGCCCAAAGAAGGTGGCAGCGTTTCTGGATCATGTTTATATATAATTTCTTCTTTGCGTTTTAAAGTTTTAACTTGCATTTGTGGATGCAGCGATGGACTGTGTTAACAGACAGTGGTTTTCAGAAGTGTTTCTGAGCCCATTCAGTGATTTTCTCTACAGAATCATGTCTGTTTTTAATGCAGTGCCGTCTGAGGGCCCAAAGATCATGGCCAGCAAATACGGTTTTTGGCCTTGTCCCTTGCATACAGACATTTCTCCAGATTCTCTGAATCTTTTAATGGTATTATGTACCGTAGATGGTGAAAAGTTCTTTGCTATTTTATGCTGAAAAACATCATTCTTGAATAGTTGCACTATTTGCTCATGCAGTCTTTCACACAGTGGTAAACTCCTCCTCATCTTTACTTCTGAAAGACTCTCTGGGATGATCTTTTTCTACCCAATCATGTTACTGACCTGTTGCCAATTAACCACCAGGTGTTTTACCAGCCTTTAAAGTCACTGTATTTGTCTAGATTACAAATAAAACATCTTATTACAGACAGTTTTTTGTATTGGAAACCAATAGGCTCTTAACGTTTTTAAAGTTCAATTCATTATTTGTCAGCATATCTTTAAAAAAAATTCTGCTTGCATAAGCATTCAGTCCCTTCAGACAAGCACTTAGTAAACCCATCTTTTGCTGCAATTACAGTTTTAAGTATGTTGGGATTCCACCAGTTTTGCAAACTGTTTGAAATAATTTTCACCAGTTGGTCCTGTCAGATTTGCTCCAGGTTGTTCAGACTGGTTGGATGACACTTGTGAACTCACTCTCTCACTTTTCAGGGGTGCTGGAGCCTATCCCAGCTCTCACTGGGCAGAAGGCAGGAAACACTCTGGACGGGTCACAGGCCGGCTATATGCAGAGTTGAATGGTTTCCTTCACAGAGATATACATACACGTATATATACTGTGTAATATATATGCTGTAAATGTAAATGCAAACATATAAATATTTTATTCAACATTATTTGGCTTAGAATGTAGCTCCTCTCTCTGCTGTGAATTCGTGTTTTTCAAAAATGTTTTCAGCCACAAATTTATCGCCAAACATTGTTTCAGGCATCAAGCAGCGATTTTGGAAAAAACTTTCTTTTCATGTAATACCTTTCTGTGATGGAGCTTTTAGAGGCTTCAAACAACACTGAAAAATCGATACAATTCCCCTCTAAAATTATTTCATTCTACACTTTCTTTCTTTCTTTCTTTCTTACTTTCTTACTTACTTACTCACTTACTCACTTATTTACTGCCTTCCTTTCTTTCTTCATCTGGTTGCCTCTGTCTATCAGTTTGCCTCTTCCGACCCCAAGTGGACAGAAAGTAAATAACTGACTGGGTAAAGTGGGTGCATCCAAAGTCCGCCAAGCCCGCCCTTCTCATCGACTGTCATTTAAATCGACCAATCCCACTCGAGCCTGGCTTTGATTGGCGTCGACTGAGCCCAATAGCATTCGAAATCCCTGTAGACTTCGAACGTCCGGAAAATATTAGGCTTGAGGCCTAGACACGCGAAGCGTAGGACGGAGTCTAAATCGGAGAAGAACACCGATAGGTAATATTACAGTGTTAATGTCTGTGAGTTGAAGTTTAGAAGGTTGTTTGAAAGCGGGATTGTGAATGAGTTCGTCTGTCTTTATTAACGTCGTTTCCAGGACTTACATTTGAGCAAGTTAATTCTGCAAACCTGGAAGAGTCCCAGCAGTGTTCTGGTTAGCGAAGTAGCTAACTAGATAGCTTAGCATTGTGCTAATCAGCACTGCGGACTGCTGGCGAGGTTTGCTGTATTTGTGTTCGTTATATCGCTTTATGAATGTCCGGTCTTTTCTTGGCTCTTCATTCTGTGTAAAGCGCTTTTTTAGATATTTTGACGAGCGTCTTTAGCTCAAAAAAGTCGCAGCGTTCATATTAAGCCAGCTAACGTCACAACTGGTGTGAGACTGAATGGCGAGGCTGGTTGCCCCATTCATTGTCTGGAGGAGCGGAGTTTCAGCGAGTTGGGCTGGTTAAGCTGGTTATGCTTTTCGCAGATAAGCTATCTAGTTCAGTTTCTTCATTAGCGACATCTTGACAGCGTCCACACAGTTCAGTTTCTTTGCTGCTAATAGCATTGAAATCATGCCTAACTACATGGCTAACCTGTCAAGTACTATAGATAGCTAGGTTAGCTATCTGGCTAACTAACGTTAGCTTTATGAATAAGAGCCGCTAAAACCTGAAGGCCATCCGTAGTTACCTGTTAGTCCTGGAGGTTTTTCTACAAAGCAAGATTTCTCAGTTATTGGGTTAATTTAAGACTACAGTCAAGTCAGAGAACAGACATTGCTTATTTTGGGACTGAAGTTACTCAGCTTTTTGAAGAAATCCTCTAATTACACACAAACTATCCAAGAATGTTTTAGCAAGCAGCAAATGTTTGTGTTGCTTTAGGCGCCATGCATCTAAGGTGGTTTGACTTCTTCTGAGCATCTAGTCAGGTCGTAAACACCTGAGGACCTTTTACAAAGTAGGATTAAGTTAGCCAGTTAACTTAAACCTCAAGGTCAAGCCTGCCGAGTAGACGAAGTGGTCAGATACTTTTCTGTTGGGCAGTTCTTACTTTGGGTTTTAAGTGAACTTTATCTTCATTAAAGACAGAAAATGTTTTAGGGGCAACACATGTTCAGGACGTTTCTTCGTATACCACACTTCTGTCCAGATTATTATTTTTATCTGCACAGATACTAAACAACTGTAGACTTGGGGAGCAAAGCAGAATTGACTTAAACCTCAAGTCAAGACTGTCCAGTGGGAGAAGTGGTCATTCCTATTGGATGATACTCATTTGAGTGATCAGGGAGTTTTGTTTGCTTTTAAGAGTTAGATTGAACGTTTGGGTAGATGCTAAACATTTTATTAATCTCATAGGTCTTTTATTATTATTGATTAATCACTAAGCTAAAGTTTCTAATGAGTTAGATGTGCAACATTTTGTCTTTTCTTTCAGAGCAAACATGGCAGAGAATGATGTTGACAACGAGCTGTTGGACTACGAGGAGGATGAAGAGCCACAGGGAGCGACGGAGAGTGCAGTCCCAGCAGTGAAGAAGGAGGTAAAAGGATCCTACGTCTCCATCCACAGCTCTGGCTTCCGAGACTTCTTGCTCAAACCTGAGCTGCTTCGTGCCATTGTCGACTGTGGCTTTGAACATCCATCTGAAGGTGAGAAGCTGCAGTTTTTTGTAACTAAGGTAGTTATGGTCTTCAACAGTCTTCAAAAGGCTGCGATTTGTATGGTGTCTGGTTGAAGTCCAGTCTTTACATTTTTGTTATACTAATCTAAGATCATTTTGTATTTGCATACTTAATTACTGTTAGCTGATGGCATCATGTTTTTGCCACATCGCCTAGTAGAACACCTTCAATTTCTGTCATTTGATAACAGCTATGAGTGCTAAGTGGCTGTCTATATCGAAGTGCCAGCCGTCAGGGTCCAAGCACATTATGGAGCCAGTAGAACATGCATGATAGTTTTTTTTAGAGAGACATATTTAATATATGTGGAATCTCTAAAGGATATTTTGTACACACTGACCTTTTGCTCTTAGTATGCTAAGCAAAATATTTTTAATAAATAAATTAAAATACGTAGAATCAGTATTTGGACATGTATTTGCATGGTTGAACTCAATTAACGAAATAATTCCACAGGAGTTATCCGTCACAGAGTGCAGCAGAATATTATGTTAATCACAAAAAAGTTCTTCTGTGAATTGTGCTGGATACAGGGGATTGATTTCTGAACTTGTTTACTTTTTCACCGCTCTTGAGTTTTCATGTCTGTACGTACGGACACAAATGTGGTTTTATTTAAAAATGTAGCATCCACCCTTCTGTCAGAATGTCTTGGCTTGTTTCTAAGAGTTAAGGGTGAGAAAGTGTGACCATATTACGCCATGCTTGTGTTATTACTGGACACTTCTAAATGCTGTAATGCACTGATGATGTGCATTTTGTGTATATGTTCACACACGCAGCTGCTGGCGGAAACAAAACCTTGTGTGTGTGTGTGTGACCCAAGGAAACAAACCTGAAACTTAAGTGGACTGTATATATTAATCCTGTTTGGTTTCTCTGTCTTCGCAGTCCAACATGAGTGCATTCCACAAGCCATTCTGGGCATGGACATCTTATGCCAAGCCAAGTCTGGCATGGGGAAGACGGCAGTATTTGTTCTCGCCACACTACAGCAGATTGAGCCGGTTGATGGGCAGGTGAGTGGACCATTCTACATGCACCTAGAGGCTTAAAATGATAGTCTAAGGCATTTTCACACTTTAAACCTGGAACATTATAGGGATATGTTACCTGTAATGTTCAGGCTTTGCGTCATTCACACATGCAGCTTTAAATGGTGTTTCACCAGGATGCACATGTTCATACACCAATAAACAGGACTTCCTTAACATAAATGGCCAGCAGCTCTTTTATTTCTGAATCGTGTACATCATGTATAGGTTAGCTTTGTAGGCCGTGCTGTGTCTGTTGTGTGCAGCGGTGACCTTGCATGCAAGCCAGGTAGATGTTTGATGCTCCTCTCTAGAGTCATGTACATGTTCACTCATTACTCGTTTTTTTTTTTTATATATATATTTTATATATATAATACATAATGCATGTACGTATGTATGTATGTATGTAAAACAAAAGCTTTGCAGAAATGTTCCAGTTTGGCAGCTGTACTCTAGTATCACTTTTTCCTCATAATGTATTGCCATCTGTTTACACTTGGGCCCTGTTGGCAGTTTCACAAGTACTCTACTGTCTCATCCTGGTACATTGCCATGTCTGATTTACTGTGCTTTTCAGCTTCTATTCACATGTATAACTACTGTTAAATTCCTAGATAAAGGAATGTGTGTGGCTTTCGAGTACTGATTTAGTATGAGCTCTCCTTTGTCCTTGGCTGCATCCAAAACCTCATACTACGATGCCAAAGAGTATGTTAGCAGCTAGAGGTGCGTTCATTAGAACAGTATAATAGTAGATGATTTTGGATGCAGCCCTTGTAATTACTTTCAGTAGGATGTGAACAGACCGATACTAGGTTTGTGTTTACATAAATGAGCCATTGTGGTGCAGAGTACTAGCTACTCTCCAATGTAGTATTTATGCATAGCTGAGTAGCCTCAGGCTGTCAGTAACTTTTTGTTATGGCAGACAAATGAGTGGTACTGTGAATAATTTGGCATTTGATGTTATCTGTGGATGCTACTACTGTGGATAACTTGTGAAGTCAGCAGAGCTTGCATGTCTGGTGAAATGTTTTGTAAACATGCAGTTTCCACTCCCTGTTAACCATGCTATCTGTGAAATTCACAATTTTTGACTTTGACATTATTGTACTAATCTGTGAAGATGAGGGGGAGCACATAATTGTGTGTGTGTGTGTGTGTGTGTGTGTGAGAGAGAGAGAGAGAGGGAGAAGGAGAAAGAGAGACTAGACTAGGTTTAAACCGTTCATCTGGCTTGATGCCTTCTGCTTAGTTTGCTAATCCTTGGTGCAGCAGAGAGGTTTAGGAATTTAATATAATTTATTAGCTGTTGACAATGTTATTAGCCATGTAAGGTGTAGGGTTTTTTTTGTTGCAGCTGGTCAAATGCAGGTCCTGGGCATATAAAACTTCAGAAAAGCCCTTCTGCTGTTTACATATTCATGGTTACAGTTGTGTTGCAAGGACATGCTCTGAATGACAAATTTTGTCTCTCAGGACTATGGTGCCTGTAATTATGCTGATTAATGTTCACAGCTTATCTATTAATGGATTCATTCCTGTCCTCAGGTGTCTGTGCTAGTGATGTGTCACACACGTGAGCTGGCCTTCCAGATCAGCAAAGAGTATGAGCGCTTCTCCAAGTACATGCCCACAGTGAAATGCTCAGTGTTCTTTGGTGGTCTGTCCATTAAGAAGGACGAAGAGGTGCTAAAGAAGAGCTGCCCGCACATCGTGGTTGGCACACCAGGCCGCATCCTTGCGCTCATCCGAAACAAGACCCTCAACCTCAAAAATATCAAGCACTTCGTCCTGGATGAGTGTGACAAGATGTTGGAGCAGCTTGGTGAGTGTGCAGAGTGCATTATGTATTAGGGCTAAAACCAACACTTATTTCTATAATCAGTTAAACTGTTATCAATAATTAATCAACTAATCATACTATTACGCCCTCTGCCGCCTTTTGGCCCTTCAAAGCACCACCATAGTTCAGTTTCTGAAACGAATGCTTTTTTCTTTTTTTTCTTATCGTGCTACAAAACTGTCCAAGCCATGTTTCCTCCAGCACTTCCTCTAGTGTCTTGCAATCTTTAGAAATGAACGTGTACCAACGGTATTATAGAGCATTACAGAGTGCTTCTTCATAAAAACATGTTGATGCCATCTCCCCTCCCCACCAATAATCAACACTTTATTTTTATTTTATTTTTTTTAAACTCATCCAGGGCTAAAGAATACAATAAAAAAAAATAAGTGCACATGTGAAACCTTAACACTTAATGTATGAAAAACAGTCATTATATCATGAACATGCCGTCCACCCAACCTCAATATTGCAAAAACTATTTTTAATTTGCTTTGTCATTTTTTAAATGAAATTTTTACCACTAGCATAATGCTACTTTCCTTTAGCTTGCCAATGGGAATTTGTAATATCACAGTTCACTCTTTTGCTTTAACCATGGACAATTAAAGCCTGAAAGACATATAAGTAACAGTCTCATTAGACTCACAGTGCCCAAGCATTTAACCCTTTCAGTCCTGAATTGTGTTCCAGGGCACAATGATGATCTTGCTTTGTTTTATTTTTTATTTTATTCTTATTTTAAAGGCAGCCATAAAATAATGTTAAATGTTAATAACTGTTTTCTATTACTGTTTACTAGCTATTTCTGATGTTCTTGTAATGCACATTTCGGTATTAATATATAATAATTAAGTTATTATAAAAATATCATGTACACAATCTGAATTTAGAGAGATTTGTATTGCATTTACATTATACATTACATTATTACATACTATGAATGTATTTATAGACCATGCGTGCTAAGCATGTGTTCAGTTTTTTGCTATCTGACGTGTCAGTTTTGGGAATCTGAAATGTAGTAGTGCAAAAATATAATGTTAACGAGGCAGTTAAATATTTTGCATGGTCAGTTTTCTCTTTGGGACGGCTGACAGTATTTTCAGAACCTTTCTGGAACAGTTTTGAAAAGCACTGTTATCATTGCAGCTCTGTTCTGCATGTGGTATGTGGCTTTAAACTGAAGGCCTATAGTGTTTGTTTTTATTACTCCTACTAGCTGGTGTGCTGTGATTTTGGGTTGAACCATTTCTGTCTCTCTGTCTTTCATCTTTGGTACTTGTTTGTAAAATTGGAAGTGTGCCAAAACGCTAACTCATCATGTAGCTGGCAGGTTGCTAGAAGCGAGTGATTCACCTGTTGACACTGAAGCTGACAAAACTTATGCCAAATTTGTCTGTTTCTCCTTGTCTCAGATATGAGGCGGGACGTGCAAGATATCTTCAGGCTGACCCCTCACGAGAAGCAGGTTATGATGTTCAGCGCCACACTCAGCAAAGAGATCCGACCCGTCTGTCGCAAGTTCATGCAAGACGTGAGTTACTTGGAGCTGTTTCTGTTTATATATATTTTTTGTAAATACAGTTCATTTTGACTGTGAAAGTGGAGCTGGGTATGTTTATGTAAATATTTCTCTCTGTTTGGCTCTCCAGCCAATGGAGGTGTTTGTGGATGACGAGACAAAGCTAACACTGCATGGCCTACAGCAGTACTACTGTAAGCTGAAGGACAGCGAGAAGAACCGCAAACTCTTTGACCTGCTTGATGTGCTTGAATTCAACCAGGTGTGTTCTGGGGATTTATGGGTCTCATTTCGGTTGATTTATATTGTTCACCAGTAAATGAATAAGGAAATTTAATGACTCTTATTGCACAGATATTGGAATTACAGCTATGTGGTTTATACTTGATATGTATTATAGCTTGTTTAAATGCGAGGTGAAGTTATTGGTTATTATTATCAGTATATGTCTAAACTAGGTGTTAAATATTATCAGAAATATCATATCAGTGCATCTCCATCATGTATATTTTTTTTTAGCTCTCTGCATCATAACAATGATTATGTAGTGCTTTTCTCAACCCAGAAGCATTCCATAAAAATCACTGAATAACACACAAAAAAAGATACAGTAGTGTTTACAGCATGTCTACAGTGTTGTTGCTATGCAAAGTCATGCAAATGTTGACACATTAAACCAGGATCTGATATTTTGGCATGTGGTTTAAAGTTGTTAGTTCTAAAATAAATGAAATCTACATCAGAAGGTCAGTGGGCTGGCCAGTTGTCGATGTAAATTAATGTAATATGATTTGTTTGATCAGGTGGTGATCTTTGTGAAGTCCGTACCACGCTGCGTCGCTCTCTCGCAACTTCTAGTGGAGCAGAACTTCCCTGCCATTGCCATCCACAGAGGCATGGCCCAGGAAGAGAGGTGAGACTTCATTTACCTTTTTGGAAATGGGGCTAAATGGGTTATATCTGACACAATTGTTTACTTAAAATTTACTTGAAGGGTGAGTTATAGATGATGGTAAATCTCCTTCTCTCCCTTTCCGAAAAACAGGTTGTCAAGGTATCAGCAGTTTAAAGATTTCCAGAGAAGGATCTTGGTGGCAACTAACCTTTTCGGCAGGGGGATGGACATTGAGCGCGTTAACATTGTCTTCAACTACGACATGCCTGAGGACTCCGACACATACCTGCATAGGGTGAATATATGCAAAGACCCATTTATTCTTTAGACTTCAAGAATTCTTACTCATTTTGCCATACCAATTAGATGTATTTGGGTAATTATGTAATTGATTATGTAATACGTTATGTGATCAGTTTTGATACACATTCTGTACGAACGGGTTCAAGTTAAACATGACAAACATGACAAAATGGCTTTGGTTTTTGCAGTACACTGTACACACAACAAATCAAAGCATGATAAAATCTTTATAATTCTTTATTTTCTTCTTTCCAGGTGGCTCGTGCTGGTCGGTTTGGGACCAAGGGTTTGGCCGTCACTTTTGTGTCGGACGAGACAGATGCCAAGACCTTAAATGACGTCCAGGACCGCTTTGAGGTGAACGTGGCTGAACTGCCTGATGAAATCGACATTTCTTCCTACAGTAAGAGCTCTTTATCCATGTCCTTATTCAAGTGTTAGAAATATTTCAACTGGAAATTATCACAAAGCTGATTTTGCTATTAATTAGCATGTAATACAATTAGCTATTTGATTCCGTTGATTAGTATTTGATCAGATTCTGCCTTTAATGGAGATTTGATGGGCTAAATAGAAGCCGGCCATAATAAAGGAAAGGTCATTAGTGATTCATTCTCTGACATGTTTAACACTTCTAACGTTGTCCTTCCACTCCTCCCTGCCCTTTCTGTCTGTCTCTTCCAGTTGAGCAGTCCAGATGAATTGTTCCAGTAATGCCTGTGGTCCACTTGGTGTTTTTTGTAACAGCAGAAAAGGCCCTGCTTATTTTATTTTGATACCTGCTTACACACCCCACCTCTTCACCTGCCCATAGACTCCTCTCTCTGTTAAACATGTACCTTGTTTATTTTATTGTGGTCTGGGGTAAATCCTTTTTTAATTTCTCTTGTTAATCGTGGTTGTTTATTGGTTTGAGAATTAAAACTTTTTTTATACTATCCTGAGTTTCCTGGTTTGTGTTGGTGTTGCTTATTCATTTATACCTGAATAAGATGTCACATGCGTGCGTGCGCACACACACACACACACTTGCTGGCTTTGATTTATAGATTATGAACTAACACAGTTACATTACTATGCACAAGTCAGAGACCACCATTTGTTAATTTAACTTCCAGTCGAAACAGCCATGTACAAGTTACAAATTTTTCAGCTTCAGGAAAAAATATCAGAACACTACACAGGTTACAGAGGGAATTCATAACTGAATATAATGTTTATTTCAGTATTCAGGGCAGGAGTGTCGTGGGCAGGGATGGTGTGGCTTGTGGTTTTCATTTCAACAAAGCAGGTGCTGAAGATCATTTGTTGAAGACCAGCTGATTACACAAGTGGAATAAGGAGTGCTCCTGATTGTTTGGAAAGAAAACCTGCAGGGATAATTTTCCACCCCTCCAAAGTTTAGTCATAGAAACTGTGTTTTTCTGCTTCTCACATTTCAAGTGGACTGCACCCTTTCAGAGTGAGTTTTGGTGGTCCACTAGGTTTAGCATGGTTGTTAGGAGTCCCATTTTCTCTGTATTTTTAAATAATATTCTGAACTCCAGTTTTAGAAACTATTTTTCCTCTACCATTTCTTCCCATTCCTTATTCATGTGGATTATCTTATATCTAACCTCAAAAAAATCTGCTGAAAACCAAAAAGTGGTCTCTGTCATACGCACAGTAGTGTATGTGGTCATATGTACCTACAGAGGGAGCTGTAGCTACAGCTTAATTTTTTAACAGCTCACACTCTTACACCATGTAATTAAGCTGTGCCAAAATCAGCAACACTAAGACATTTTCAGTGTTACTGAGGTTATATTAACAGAAAAGTTACATTCAGACTGCAGCATATTAATTTATGGTCATTAAAAGCATAAATTACTCTTTGTATTTCTTTTGGGATGATTACTTATGTATTACTAGTATCCTATTCATTGCATTTATAATCAATGAAAGTTCAAATCAGTTCATAAATAATAGTGCAGTAAAACAAGCTTTATAAACATCAGCTGTGTCGGATGAAAAGATATGGACACAACTGATTTCTAATGGGAGATATTTAATTTCCATCTAACATTCTGTTGTGCATAAATAATACATAGTACTTTACTGTACTGTGTCAATATGTCTAACTTATTACATCAGTGCAAAAGATAAAAACATGAGCATTGATATCTCAAACTAGAAGAAAGCGTAAGAGCTGTTTGGTATTATCTGAATAATACATGAAGTGCAGCTCATTGGATGCACTTTGTCTCTAATATAATCAATGCATGCAGATAGCACACCTGTGAAACATGTTCTGGCATTACTAACAGCTCAGTTCATACATTTCAGTTTGGTACTTTGTGACCTTTCATATTTAATTTAGTTTAATCTGAGCTGCATCGAGTGCAATTTCTCTTCCCCTCCTCCCGTGCCGTGTCTCATTTTAGCAATTTGGTATCTGAGCTAAAAGAGGCTGGCTCTATCTATAACCTACACACATAAATCTGGAGCTTTGGAGGGCTCATGTGCATCCACTCACACAAACACTCTCTCAGTATGTTAGAAAAGAATCAAAGACTTCTTTTCAAGAAAGAGTAGTCCCTTCCCATTTAAAGGGGAATTCCACTCTTTTTCAAAAGTTTTTTGCTTCATTAAATAGTTAAGATGTAAACAAAGTCACACAGAGTGGTTTGAGGTGAAACGCTCCAGTCAGGAGAAACTAACAGAATCAGTATTGTTCACAGTGGTGTTGATAGGAACCAGACATCTGATGTGTTTAATCCTTCTAAAAGCTCCCTCACAAAGTTATTACCTAAAATGGTTATGAATATCTTGCCTGATCTCTGTGGTGTTGTTTTATGATAGTTTTGGGAAGGTCTGGCTTAAAATGTATATTTTTAAGTACATTCGTGGTGGAGCGGTGCATGCAGGGAGTTGGCAGGCAAAATAGTCCCCAAAGAAACACATAAAAACTCAGAAGAAGTGTTGATCTGGATCGTAAATAAAATGGCTGTATTTGTGTTGTAAATGTTGCAGCCCCTGGTTCTGATCACCACCACTGTAAAGAAATGGGAGTTGATAACTTTCTCCTCAGTGAACCATTTCACATCAAACCACTCTTTGACTTAGACTGAACATATTTATATTTTTTGCCAGTTGATTTATGCAGAAATTCTGAAAAATCAGCAGAATTCCCCTTTAACAGAGTTGGGGGGGCGGGGTTTTTGTTTGATTCCCTGACTGTTCATTTTGTCCTTGTCGCAGTTTTCCTTGAACAATTTCACAGGGCAAGTCAGAGAGTTAAATAAAAAGTAAAATTAGATAATATATTAAAGTCATATCAGATCAACGTTTTCATTCACATCTGCTGTGTTCAGCAGAACTGTTAGCCATACTTTCCAGGCAAAGAATGAGGACTTTCCATGTATATCCAAAAAAAGTCCATCAGGCCATATTTTTTTCCTGTACATCACTACATGTTGGAGTCAGCGTCTCTTTCGGAGACACATGAACAGTCTCAGTGCAATTGCATTGTGCACTCTCGTCACAAAACAGTTAATTGTTGCCAGTATAAAGTGGCATGTTAGAAGTCTGTGTAGCCAATGCTGATGAATACAGGCCAAACTAGTCAATGAACTTGTGTGTGTCTCCATAGAGCCACTTTTGTGGTGGCATGGCTACTTCGTTCAGGTGCCCACATTCTTGTCCACACTTGCAGGACCGGATAAACATGACTGCTTTTTCTATGCGGCCTCCACCGGGGCACTGGAAGGGTACCGAGATGGTGCGTGTGTGCCTTGGCATGCAACACCGGCCGTCAGTACACACCCCACAGTAGTTTGGCTGGTAGGTGCGAACACTGCGGCAACCTGCGTAAGTCATGTGAAAGGGTTCTGGAGACTTGTGGGTGCGCGTGCACTTCTTTCCTTTCTGTAGTGAAGACAGAAAAGGTGGAACAGAGAAAGAGTTAGAGGAATGATGCGATGGGGAGGAATAAGCTGGTAATAGCTAGTCAACTATCCGGTAATACAGTCATATTCAAAGCTTTGGGTGCCACTGGGCAAATTACAGTTTTGTTGAAAATAACTTTACACATCCTCTCCAGAGACACTTTCTGCTAAATTTAGTGCATAATTTCTATTTATTTGCTAACATATTGTGAAAAAGATTATCATAAATATAAAATGTGCCATAAATTTTGCCCAGGCCACAGTTTATGTTTTATAGATTGATCGACCACTTTATTAAGTACACCTTCTTGTATCTACACATGCTGTCCATTTTAACAGGTCCTCTTACTATATAGGAGCACTTTGTAGTTCTACAGTTACAGACTATAGTCCATCTGTTTCTCTGCATACTTTGTTAGCCCGCTTTTACCCTGTTCTTTAATGGTCAGGACCCCCACAGAGTATTATTTGGGTGGTGGATCATTCTCAGCACTTCAGTGACACTGACTTGATGGTGATGTGTTAGTGAGTGTTGTGCTGGTATGAGTAGATCAGACACAGCAGTGCTGCTGGAGTGTCACTGCTGGACTGAGAATAGTCCACCAACAAGAAATATCCAGCCAACAGTGTCCATTTTCCAACCTCTGTTTATCCCTTAGAATTAAACAGGCTGTTTTGATACTGTGCCTCAATCAGAAAGCAGTCCTTGCTGAAATGTACTGAACAAATTGTTAGGTGTAGATCCTCTTGGACACCAGAAATTATAAATGTGGGCCACTGCTGTGTGACATCACAACCATGCTGGAACCAAACCGTGATATTATGAAGTACCTTAGTAGGAAGAGCCAGTGAGCTGCAGGGACGTATGTTGCAAAGGCGGGTCTCCTTTTCCAGCTTGCACTGAGTGTTGTCATTAGTTATTCGGGATGAGACACCCATTCCACAGCTGCTTGAACACGGTGACCAGTCAGTGGTTTGGACCACACACTGCGTCTGAACACGGCTCCAATCTGAGACCAAAAGAGAAGGAATGGTTTCTGGAAATTATATGTAACATCTACAGAGAAATTCGTGACAAGGAGTGAGAACCCTTACAGTGTTCTTGCATATCAGTGCCTTCAGAAAAACAGAACTTTATAGAAAAATCCATTCTTAACTTTTAATGTAAGTTAATGTAAAAAGCATTAACTTTTTCCAAGTAATTTTGGACCATTTCTGTGGGTCCATTCATCATGACATTTTGAGACAACGTAAAGAGCAGCTCACATTTCACATTATGTGACAAAATTGAAATCAACAAAAATTTAATTACAAGCTTTTGTTCCAACATCAACGATATCAAAGTGGGAGAGATGGATGTAACTAAAGAAACTTTTACACAGCAGTGATTATAACAAGTCTTAATTGGGGTTATTTGACAATGATTTGACTGTTCTACAAACTATAATATCTCTTACAGCATCTAGACAATATCACCTGGACCATAAACAGACAAACTGAAAAGTGAAACCTCCACTCCTCCTTAGTCTTGCATATTATGTACTATACATCAACTAGGCAGCTATTGTGGATTCAGAGCATTCTCTTACCTGGTAAGTGTTTATATCCTTGCTCATCCTCCCATCCTCTCTTCCTTTCCAGCAATCCATTCCACAGCCTGTTCTCTCCCTTATCCAGACGACCATTTGCATGCTGCTTTCTTTTCCATGTGGGCTCCACCGGCCCTATCTCCCCCTTGTGGCAGTCCACGCTGAAGCAACACTGGCCAGGGATCCGCACCAGGCGAGGGTAAGGGCACGAGGGTGATGCCAGGGGCAGGCTGGTGGTACAGAGAGGTGCACAACCCACCGCTCCATCGATACAAGTACAGTGGTGTTTACAGCCCACACTGAAGCTCTCACCATTCTGGTACATTCTGCCATTGTACTCGCAGGTGCGGCCTTCCAGTTTGGCTAAGGAGAGAGAAATGAAGACTTAGCTAAATTTCTAGAAGATAGTGTAGTGTCATGATTATTGTAGGACTGTAGGCTAAACATAACGGTGGCCTAGCCTTATTTGCAAAACAGCCATTTTTTTGTTACGTCATGGAAGTTTACATTACATTCATACACTGAACTTCTACCTTTTGAGTCTTACTATCATCTGTTATTCGGTGTGCACTTCTCACAAATATAGATAAAACATACAGATAGGTGACAAAGGAAAAACCAACATGGCGTATATTGATTTGCAGTGACTCTTCTGATTTGTTTCTCCACTCGTTTATTCAGGTGTTTCCTTTCATTTTTCAGCCATCTGTATATTTCCACTGTTTCTTGACTGAATGAAAAAAAATTCTGGAGGGACGTCGAACCAGATTTCAAGGTAAGGTAATAATTGGTCACTCATTTAGCTAGCTAGCTAACCTATGACCAACCAGACTAGTGTTTGCCAGCAAGCTTGAAAGTTAGGGAACTGTTAGCTGGCATATACTGAAATGTATGCTCAAAGCTCACTGGGACATGTTTCCGTACACAACCTGTACTTGACCTGTATAACCTATAAATGCCTGCTCATTAGAACAACATGCTAATAGCTCTGCATCTAGCTGTGGAGAACTAGCATTAGGCAGTCATTTTCAAGTGAATATTCAAAAGTTACCCTTTTATAAAAAAATAATTGGGATGATGTTTTTTTTAAAAGCAGACCCTTCTTTGTGCTTCTAACAAGAAAAGAGGAACTTTTACTGTTTGGGAATGATGGTCAGTTCTCAGACAGAAAACCACTTTTTCTTTTTTTTCCGATACAAAACGGAAATTAAAATCTTGAGTATCACCTGATACTGAAGACAATCCGATATTCTTTCTTTAAAACCTACTGAGCTTTAAAATGGGCTTTTTTTTCATTGAATCACTACATTTAATGTAAGCATCTAAAAGTAGGCTATCATGTTCAATCGTTCTACTATCACACATGAATAAATACTCAGCTAACAACAGGACATCACATAATTTGCGTGAGCAGTATTTCATGCTAGCTCTGTTACTGGACTGAATCAGATTCTTTCCTTTTTTCCTCTGATATCCAATCCAACACTTTCTGCTAATACCACCCTGATACAGATACCCATCCACACCATTATGCTGTCTCTAGTTCCAATGCATTTTCAGTCATTCTGGACATGTGCTTGTTTTAAATGACCCTGCAGCTGAATGTAATGTGATGGAACGTGTGAATTTTAATGTGTTCCCTTTCCTGGCAGACCTACAGGGCCTTCCTCTATGGTGCCTTGTGCTTGTATGAAAGCAACACAGTCTGATGCCATTTAGGATATCAACAACAGTCCTCCAGCTGTCCAGCTCTTTCAGGCTAGTGAGGAAAAGAAGCTATTTAAGACTTGACACCATCAAAACACCGAAGGAGGCCCTCAAGGGACAAGGAACATGTCCTCATAACAACAAACATGTCTACGTTCCTTTGCACTCTATAAAACCAGCCTTTTCTTTCCGTCTGCCTCTCACAGATACATGTGCACACAGAGACTTCTCGGTCTCGGATGTGGCTGGAGTGTGACTAAGGGACTGCATAACATACAGCAGAACTCTGTGAAAATTCCAAGTATTCCTGAAATGTCTCAGAATTTTCCTAAGGTTCTGATTACAACAGTTGGCCCTTTTCTTCCCCTAGCAACATGCAAACATGGGACCAGTCACAGTCACTTTGAAATAAAAGGTTCTTAGATGGTTCTTGGCTTGTAGTGGTTCTACACTCTTTTAGTATGAAGGATCAGAGAAGCTTCTTTGTGAAATGTCATAAAAGACTCACTTTTGGTTTCCTTTAGAAACATTCGATGGTTCTTTAAACAATCTTTTTGTAAAGGAGATTTTAAAGTCTCCATCTCCATGTTGTAGGAAGAACATCTAAATTGGTAAAGAACCTTTATACTCTGTGAAGTTTCTTAAGTATTTAAAAGGTTCTTCACAATATCACTTAGTTAAACATGGTTCCTTAGAGTGGTTCTTCTATGGCATCACTCAAACAACCCTTTGAGGCACCCTTTTTTGTAGGAATGTAGGGAGAAAAATAAATTGGTATAGAACCTTTACATATGTAGACATATACATATATGGAGGTTTTATTTTTTTACTTTAAAAAGGTTCTTCTCACACATCTCATTTACAGAACTGGTTCTTTAAAGTACCATAGATTGAAAGGTTCTGTAGGGAATCCAAAGCGGTTCTTCTATGGCACCGCTCCAAAGAACCCTTTTGGCACCTTTATTTTCAAGAACGTGCCACCACACTGTCAAAACACAAAGCAAAGCCAATAACAGGGGTTGCGGGGTTAATGAAAGGTCAAAGATCATGGAGAACATGGGCGAGGGTAAAAAGAGGCAGAGAGAGAGAGAGAGAGACATTCTATCCACTCTGTGATGCAAAAAGTATCTATTCATAGAGCAGACTGGCATCCCCAACTTGTGTAGAATGCTGTTCCATTTCCGTCTGTCTCTGGTGGGACTCAACAAAAAAAGACCATCAACTCCATCCTAATATCTCTCAGTGGACTAATAGATTCTTCCATACATCCCCCTGTGGACTTACAGGTTTACATGTGTATCGCATCACATGTGTTTTGATTACAGATTTATGTGTGTATCTTCTCAATGTGATCATTAGCAAACGCAGCTGCTTCAGACACAAAGTTGGAATGTAGTTGTGGTTTAAAATAAAAGGTTCTTAGATGGTTCTTGGCTTGTAGTGGTTCTACACGCTTAAGTATGAAGGACCAGAAAAGCTTCTTTGTGCAGTGTAATAAAAGACTCACTTTTGGTTTCCTTAAGGAACTTTCTATGGATAGTTACTTTTTGCAAAGGAGATTTTGTAATGTTGGAATGTAGTTGACCTGTCCATGCATTATTTTGTAGCAACAAGTTTTAAAGAACTTTAAAAAAAATCCAATTCAACCTATATTACATTGGGTTTCCAGTTTAAAATGCTAGACCATCAAGCTGAAGAGGGGTTTTGTAGCTAATCAAAACTAGGCAGGTTGGAAACGACAATGATGAATTTGCCGTCATGCTAATGTTTGCTCAAACGAACAAACAAACAAACTTTCTATTTATTTGTCAACCATGTCTGGAAAAATATTGGAAAAAATAAAACTAGAATGCGCCATAAATTTTGCATAGGTGCTATTTTATGTTTTATTTTTCCCTCAATATGATAAATTCAGCAAATAAACAGTAATCGTGCATCTCCATGCATCAGACCAGGTTTGGGTTCCCGACCCAGGTAAACACACCATTCTACACCCATAAGAGTCCTTGGGCAAGACTCCTAACACTACATTAGCCTACCTCTGTAACATGATTCAAAGGTAAGTTTCTATAGATAAGACTATAAGATATGTCTGCCAAATGCATAGATATAAACTTAAGTATTGGAACATGGCTGATGCGCACTCTTTCTCTAATAGGAAGTGATTCCGAATAGCTATCCAGTTTTCAAAGTAACAGCATTTCCTGTGAGGGAACTACGAAAGAAGGCATTTGCAGGCGAGGTCAAGTCTATTTTCTTGATAGTTCTCTGTATGTGTACTGTGCTGTGAGTATGCAGATAAAAATAAGACCAGCTGTAATGTGTCCCACTGTTAGATTTTCGGGACACGCTATGCCACTGCACATAAAAATAACACAGCTCTAAATACAGTGTCAAAGCAGAGCCCTTCATAGTCACTACACCTCATGGCCCTGGCCCAACATGTTTTACACATGCCTGCACACACGCACTCAAACCTCCACGCTTCTACTTCACTCACCTCGACATACACCTGTTCCAAACATCACATCGTTGCCATAATTACATTCCAGTCCTTTATGGTGATCACAGGGCTTATAGGTACTGCAGTCCTGGTTGAGCTGAGCAGCACACACCTTACAGCAGCCACAACCATCCAACACCAAGCTTATGCCAGCAGGGCACACTGGGCGACCTGGAGGGCATTTGCATACAGCTGGGCAACTGGCATCAACCTGGAATAGATACATTGTGGATTGATTGATAATAAGTATGGGAGGGGTAGGAAAATTGGGCAGAAAGTGTATAGGAAAATTGGTGAAAGGGTGTAAATGACACATTTCATTTATTTATTCTATTTAATTTTTTTTCTGTCGTATGGCAACAATTACTTCTTTTGGTTTGTCATTTTCTGGTGTGATATATACAATATAATTGTTTTTTCCTTTAATAAACTGATATACTTTTTACATTTTTTTATTTTTTCCTAATCATATGAGCTCCTGTTGCAGGCTGTCATTTTTTTCACATTGTGAAGACCAGCATCTGAAATGCTCTAAAATGTCCAAATAAATCGATATTTGTACACAACAATTTTAAGCAAACAATTTTAACAGAATGTATAGGACGGTTAGATTATCTTATTCATAAATGAAACCAATGCGGATCCTATAGGTTGTACAGAAAATGATCAAAAATATTTGATACTTGATATTTGAAAAATACAGAATGCTACAGTGAAACTGCAACCTGTAATGCATACAGTGGGAGAAAATTAACACACTATCATTGGCCACTGTCATTTTCACAATTCTTTTTATATTCCAAACTGATGTTTTTATGAATATATATATATATATATATATATATATATATATATATATATATATATATATATATATATATATATATTTCTTTATGTATTCTTAAAACCTTTATGCAGGTATATTTGGAATACTCACATTTGTTTTTATGCCTGGCAGTTTGTTTTCTCCCATTGTATGCATTGCAGTCTGTAGTTCCACTGTTGCATACTGTACTGATGCCACACGGCAACAAAATGCAAAGTACCCCCAAAGATACTTCTTTCCCAAAAGGTTTTATTTTTCTATTCATTTTGCCAGTTTTATCAAGAAAAGTGATTTTCTCATGTGCGTGTCATAACTCATGCATGTAGATTTTGTCGCTGCTATAATAAATGGTCTTCAAATAAATTTAATGGAAGAGGGAAAAAAGAGTTCTTAACTTCAATGTAAATTAACTTAATATTTTACTCTGTTAAATTTTGGACCATTTAAATTTGCACACAATGTAAAAGGTATCTGGTGTCAAATGCACTCTTAAATACAAAGGATCTTCAATCAGTCTCAGTTTGGATGTACGATTCTAGAGAAAAGCTTTAACTGATATATAGAACCTAAACATAATGTGGAGGTTCTTTAAGCTTTAAAAAAAAACATGGTATGAGCAACTCAAAGAAGCAAAATCACTGTTGAGATCAAAGGTCACCAGTGCAGTTCAGTTTGAATCTGTACCAGACTATAGGTAATCACAGTCTGTAGGACTATGATTAGTCGGATGAGGTGTTTGGGGAGCTCAGAATAGAACAAAAATGTGAACAGGCACATCAATCCTTCAGGACTGGACCGGAAACCCCCATATAGCATATGAATCACTGGTGCTTCATCTTATTACCAAAGAGCAACACACCTGACTCAGGCAATAACTGTCATGAACCGAGAAATTAAGTAGATGAATCACTTGTGCTGGCGGCTGTTTTAGATGGAACAAAAGCTTGGAAGCATTCTGGCCTTTAGCGAACAAAACGAGACACCTTTATTTTGTCAGTCTGGATCAGATATGGTGATGATTAGAGCTCACTGCCGTTGACTGAAGGCTCTGTCTCTCTCAGCCGTGATTAGAGTCTCAGTATATAAGGGCGCCAGTAGCCAATTATACACACACACACACACACACACACACACACACATTCCTATCTTTGTAGGCTATTTCCATAGACATTCGTATTACTGTAGCTACATAATGCTGTACCTGCACTTAAACCCAAGTCCAACCTTAACCTCAGTAATCATAATGAAACCTTTTATCATATAAACACTGCATTTAATATAGCATTTTTCCTTGTGGTGACTTGCCAGATATACTGTTCTGTTAAAGTGGAACGACATTAAAATAACAGACACTAAGTGACCAAATAAGACTTTTTTCAGGTCCTGATAAATATTTAGGTTGAGAAACACAAGAAACAAATTATAATTACATGCTTAAAGTCAAGCCCACTTACCATGCAAACAGACGCCACCGCCAAAACAGCTAAACAAACCAACTGCTCCATAATTGTGGATGAAATGCTCCAAAAGAGACGATGAGAAAAATGTCTAACGTGAGTAAACGAAAATAAAACAAACACACAGACAGAAAAGCCAGCTGTGAAACTCTCGTGCTGTGCTTTAACTCCAGTCTCTTACCATCCACCAGCACTCCGACTGTATTTATGCTAACCTCGCGTTGCTCTCCCAAGCCCCGCCCACCCTCATGAATCCGGCCAATTATCTTCAGGCATCGTGCCAACACATTCCAAAGGGGAGGGGCGTGTCAGTCTGCAGCGGTTAGGGGGCGGGGCCAAGCATGAATACAGTCATTCATAAAATCAGTCGAGCTCGCAGGAGATGGAGAGCTCCGTTTATTATTCCGGCCGGAATGAAAACACTGCCGCCACTTTTAAGTGCCTTTCAGGCGCATTCCGACCAGCACTCACTGCAGGGAAACCCTGGATAAATATACTCAGCCGCCCGTCGTGTTTGGGACATTTTAATAGCACGACTGACACTTGCTGCGAGGTAGGCCAATAGCCTATAGAGTGTGTGTGTGTGTGTGTGTGTGTGTGTGTAAAAGAAAGAGAGAGAGAGAGAGAGAGCAGGACAAAGAAACTTTGACTTTAAAAATATTATCCAGTCTTTCATAGTATATTATTATTAACCTCTCATTATTAACTCAGTATCAAAGCCCATCAATGGTCTAATTAACACAAAATGCCTCCTTTTGTCTTGTATGACAGAAATCATAAAATAAGCACAGTAATTTCCAAGCCTAATAGTCATTGTTTTCCATGCCTATACGTATATATACCGCCACCGTATGTATATATATATATATATATATATATATATATATATATATATATATATATATATATAGATAGATATATGTGTGTGTGAGTGTGTATGTAAACATTATTCAGAATACTATGCTAGAATACTACTAATGTCCACCCCGACCACCCCTTCTCCACTGTATATATATATATATATATATATATATATATATACACACTTATATAAAATAAATAAATAAATAGATGCATAACGACTAACAAGTTTTGTTCCTTTGCTCTTTTTCTTTGCTACTGTCGATATTGTCTTACTCATGGAGGCGTCTTCTGTAAAGCTGCTTTGTGACAACGCCTGTTGTAAAAAGTGCCATAGAAATAAACTTTTACTTGACTTGACTAACAGCATCAGTAATTACATAATAGTGTAAAGATTGCTAAAGATCACCTGTCAGTACTCAGTAATGAAAAGGAAATGGAGGTTTAGCTAGAGGTAAGAAAGCTTTCAGGTTTGGGAGAGAGAGAGAGAGAGAGAAAATATGTCAGAGCAGGTGTGCCATGATTGGGTATGTTTTCATAGAATTAATACAAACCCCACCCTGGTGCCCTGCTGCTGCTGCTGCTGCTGCTGGTTGAAGACTGTAATCTTGGTTATGGTCAATCCAACCTTGAATCAAGGCAGCCACATTACAGTACTGAGGAAAAGAAAATCAATGTGGAAAGCTGGAATTTAAAAGAAGGACAGAATAGCTCAGAAAGAGTGTAGCAGCATGGCAGAGACAGAGAGAGAGAGAGAAATAGACAGACAGACAGAAATAAGACCTCCAGCAGCTTTTTTTTTTACTTAAGCACCACCTGCTGGTAGAGCTTGTTCATCGTCTTATCTGATCTGATCTGTGTTGTTGTATTGAATTTATTCTCTCTGTAAAAAATGCTACACTTACATGCTCAAAATTATGTGAACAACTGAACATCATGTCCATACGTGATCAGCTCTTACTCTGAGAAACTGAGAATTTATGAATAGGCTCATGTAGACTGGCCACTCAAGAACATATGCTGTCTTTTTCTGTGTTGAGTCTCCACCAAACACAATACTTTGAACCACAGGGTTCTATTTTGTCTGGTCTGAGCACAACTCTATTTGTCACGTTTTAATGGAACAGGTTTTTTGAGGTGCTTTATAAAAGCTGGGAAGGTTTTAAGACGGTGCTGTTGAAGGAATGACTTCTTTTCTGTCGTTCTGTCATAAAACACATCTTCTGCTGATTTGTGCTATTCAGTAACTTTGTCTCTGATTTGGAGAGTTAAATGAATCATCCCAACCCCTCTCATACTCAACCTTATCCCTCTGCCAGTCAGCCCCACCCTTCAACCTGGGAGTGTGGCATCTGGTTGGCACTGCTTTTACGGTCCTTCCTCCTCACCTCACCTTTTGGTCATTTGTTTGGGATTTTAGGGCAGCAAATTCTACTTTGTGAATCATCTCAGTTTTAGCTGTAAGAGCAATCCCAAGATGTTTGAGGCCTTGGCGGAAGTCCTTTGATAATTAAATGTCCACATGCTCTTCTTCTCCTGCTCATGGCCTCTTGACCTCACGGTGTTTTGGGCCAACCAAACTATTGGCATCAAACCCCAGGGGTGCTCCATCATATCCCATATTTTCAGCAGGTCTGGTTCCAGAACAAAACCAGGATGCATCACAAAATAAATGGGGCTCCACACAGTGCATTTAATACATGGAATTTCAAATTGTAGCTGCACCTTGAGCTCATATTCATTATTTAATTTCACCTTCAATATGTTACAGTAAACAGCTGAAATAACAATATATTTGTCCAAATATTTATGGACCTGACTTTAATGACTGGAATTTGTGCAGATGCTATTAGAGCTAGAAACTTCATTCCTACTACAAAACCACATTCCTAAAAACTTCACACACTATTTGCAAAAATTTAAACTGAGGGTGCAAGTGCAGCTTTTGCACCCCTCTACAGTCAGGCCTGGTTCTCAGTCTTTTGATGTTTGTTATTTCATGGCCTAATTGTTCTGGATGATGCCTGCTTTATGGAACTTGTGGAAGTTCAATATTATGTAGTCCTCTTTCAGTACTGGAAGTGTCTGCTATAAGGATGATGTATCTGCCCTGGAGGACCTGTAGCCCTTTAAGATAAGATAGGAATATACCTTTATTTTGGCCATTAACACAAAATTCTGTCTCACATCAAAGTCTCGAACAACCAGGGCAAAATACAAAAGTTCTAAAGATTTGTACTGAAGATTCACAATTTCTAACAATAAGAAATAAGTAAATGAAAACAACAGTAGACAACACTGAGTTCTACCTGTTAATTCATCAACACTTCTGTATTCTACCTCAAAAAAGTCCAAGTTTATGTACAGAAGGTATGTGCACATAGTTGCACATCAGCACCTTTCTCTTCTTGGCCAAATTGGTGGTGACAGTGAATTTTGAGTAAGTTACAAAGAAATGTTTGCCACCATGAAACACTCCTCTGAGGAGGAACAGATTCTGGTTACTGATGCTATGGCACCCCTTTGGTTTCCACAGTTTCTCGGGTGGTCATTGGTTTGCATCCTGGGTTGCTTAATTTGCTCACCTTCTTTTGGGGGAAAGAATGGACTATTATAGTCTTCCCCTTTCACATTAATAGCTCAGCAGGATGCCCCAACTCCTCGACTTCAATTCTGCTGCTTTGCCATCTCACCTGATGCTCAAAATTCAAAGCACAGAATTAGAAATTCTCTGATGAAGAAAACAGAAAATCAATGTTTAAATACAGAAAGACTTTTTTCCTGCCAGTTCCAGTTCTTGGGACACTCCTTCAGGAAGAGTTCAGCATCCTCTGAATCTTGTCAGGGACGGAGTTCCATCTTCTTTGTTTTTCCCAGCCATCCGGGTACAGTTCAAAACTCAAAAAAGCTCACAAGCAGCTGGCATTAATTTAACCTGCAGTTCTTTCAGGGGTCTGGCTGAGTGACCATAAATCAGAAGCTGCCCAGAGCTGCATTTCTCAGAATTTCCTCCTACAGTCATTCCTCATACTACAACCATAGATTACAGGCCTGTACTCGTAGAATGAAATGTAAAGTTAAGTGTGGGAGAAAGACCACACCTGAAATTCCTCCCCCTTTTTTCCTAACTTTCAATAGTACAGCCAAACGTTTAGAAGCAACATGAGCATTTCAACAAAAATGTATTCATTTGGGGGCTCCTGAGTGGACCTACTGTCTAAGCGTTGGAGCTCGAACACTGGGAAATTGCAAGTTTGGTCCTGGGGGTGTGATTTTAGCTTACATAACAGAATTGGCAGTTAACTTCTTAAAATCCCAGGCTTTTTACATACTAAGGCTTATTGTTCAGTAACTACAGGTACATCAATGCAAACTGGTTGAGCTATTCTTAGATTAAAGAAGTGTGTTATAAAACTGTGGCCCTGACCATTTAAGGCGTTAACGATCTTCTCCAAGCATGTTAAGTGGTCCCATGATGCTAAGTTATTGGTGACACTTTATGTGACTGGGAGCCTTCACCCTCCCAGCTTGGTAGCATGGTGTGATAGAAGGAGAGCCAGCTTGCAGTTTGAAATGTACAGCACTAAATTGGAAAGAAAATTGGGTAAACACTTTACTTGAGCTCTGCTGGGTAACATTGACATAACCATGCAACAGTGATGTTTTTGCAGACGTCATATGTCCAGCAACATAACAGAGTCATTTTACTGTTGTTGTTGTCATTACATTTGTCATAATGTTTGATGTCATGCTGGCTAACTGTAACAAAGCTGCCATGATAATGACTGGTAATGGTAACATGACAATGTTATTCTAGTGCACATAATCTGTCATGCCAATTCATGACAGCTTATGAAATCTGCCATGACTTGATTATTTTATGTTTATGCCAATGTAATGAAGCAGGATTCAGGTAAAGTGTGACCAAAACCAAAAAATTCATTTGAATTTATTTTCATTGATTGATGACAGCGATAACATTAAGAAATATGCTTAGTATAGAATATTATTTGGATATTATTTTTTTTTCAGCTTGGGTTTGCAGCCCTATTTATATCCAACATGATGTGACCATTCAGATGCTTCTGAAGGCTTGATTAAATAAATCAGTAAGAAGTGCTCACTGATGTTACTGAAAGTATACTAGCTCCACCTGCTGGAGTGATCTGGAGTTGCGCTGGGCACGAACATCTAATTAGTCACCTCTTCATGCCAGAGAGAGACTGTGGTTTAAGTAAGCTTCACTGTTGTGCATTTCTTATGCAAATAGTGACTGAAAAAGACTTTATTTATACTTTCAAAAGTATACTGACTCTTAAAGTACAATCACAGTACCATAAGAGTCACT